GGGGCAGGCAGGCAGCACCAGGTAAGCTGGGGTGGCGGGGGGCGCGAGAAGGGCTCCGGGGAGGCACGGCGCGGCCCAGTCCAGCCCCGGCCAAGCAGCTCACTCTGGCCCTGGTTCTGGCCGAGTGCGCCGGCCCGGCCCCGGCCGAGCACCCCTGGCCTCAGCGGCTCTGACCTGGCTCGGCTCCAGCCCAGCCCGGCCTGCTCGGCTCCGGCCCGGCCCCCGGGGCTTGGCTCGGCTCCGGCCCCCGCAGCTCGGCTCCGGGTCAGACCCAAGCCCCGCGACCCTGGCTAGAGCTCCGGCCGGAATGCGGCCCGATTCCTGGGGGTGGTGCTTGCCGCAAGCCCCGCCCCCAGGAATCAGGTCCCGCTCTTGCTAAAGCCGGCCCTGCCCGCGAGATTGCACCAGCTGGGCAGCCATCCCAGACACGACCAGCCAGGGGCTGAGCGCAGTGCGCGCGCTGCTGGGTCCCCGCATAAGGCCCGGGCTCAGGGGGTTCAGGCCCAGGCGCCAGAACCGCCGAGCGCCACGTGCTTGGCCGCTTCCTCCCCCCTTGGCACTGGGAGCTGCAGCAGCGGCTGCTCCCGAGTCCCGCTGCCCAGGTGGGGAGAACAGCCGCCTCCCTACTCTCCCTCCAGGTACCGCGCCTGAGTCCTGCCTGCTCGGGGCCAGGCCGGACTCACACTCACCCCGGCTCTGCGCTCCCCTGCGTCTCCCAGGCATGGCGTGCTTGGAAAGAGGCGGGGATTTGGGGAGGGAGCTAATGGTGCAGTGAGGGGGTGGGGATTTGGGGAGGGATGCAGTGGGGGAAGGAGGGGCGGAGTCGGGGCGCGGGGGAGAGGCGTGGTAGCCTTGCTTGTTTGTCCAGTGTCCTGACCTAACATTGGTCGGGACGCGGGACAAACAAGCAAATATCGGGACAGTCCCGATAAAATTGGGACGTCTGGTCACCCTAGATCGACCTCACCAAGGTCTGCCAGCTGAACGGGGCTGAGCGGGACCCTGGCTGGCAGGAGCCGGTGGACAGAGCCCCAGACTGGGGCTCCGTCCGCCGGCCCCGCTCAGCCCACTGCCTGCCTGGGGTTCCGATCATCCAGGCAGGCAGTGGGCTGAGCGGGTCTGGCGGACGGGACTCTGGGAAAAAGGCGCAAAATGATTGTCTGCCGTTGCTTTCACGGAAAGAGGGAGGGAGGGGGGCCTGACGACATGTACCCAAAACCACCCGTGACAAAGTTTTTGCTCCATCAAGCATTGGGAACTTAACCCAGAATTCCAATGGGCAGTGGGAACTGTGGGATAGCTACCCACAGTGTGCGCTCTGTAAGTCGATGCTAGCTGCGGTAGTGAGGATGCACTCCACCGACTAAATGTGCTTAATGTGGACATACGCAATAGACTGTATAAAATCGAATTCTAAAAAATTGACTTCTATAAAATTGACCTAATTTCGTAGTGTAGACATACGCTTTTCCTTCCATCCTGCTAAGGATCAGACAGAGCATTTTACACACACTCTCTCTCTTACAATTGTCTCTTCCTGAAAGGCCAAGTAGCAAGATAGACCCTGGAAACATGCTACCCTCCCTCGCCCATAGCCTGGTAACTGGAGCAGTCATTGCACGTGATTTATGGTGCACTCCATTTCTCTCCCAGCGAATCTAGTGCCAATTGAAGCACTGCAGGACTTGGCATAAGTAAACAAGGATGGGGATAGTGGGGAAGGAAACATGCCAAGGAAACTGAGGAAAGAGTTGATCAGACTGAGCCTTAAATTGAAACGTGTTGTTAAACTCCCAGCTTAATGCTTGTTCAGAGAGAGGCAGAGTTATGCAGGTCAGTGGTGGTCACCATAACTTGATACAGCGGTCCAAGAATAAGGGAGAAGGCTTTACATGGGTGAGCTTTGCGGCACAAATAAGAACATGTGAACAGAAATGAAAGTATGTGTGTGCTGGGGCAGCAATGGCTGCTGGGTAGAATAAGGTTTCCTCTTTCTGGTTTGGGGTAAAACTTTGCGAGGTCTAGCCTGTTTAGGGTGGCCTTTTTGGAAGTAGGGAGGGTTATAAGAGGTGGGGTGATGAAGAGAGCTAATGAGCCTATCTATGTAGGCCTCATTTCCAGTAGGCTCAAAATAGTAGGCAGTGTTGAACTGCCTCTATGCTGACTTTCATTTGAAGAGGGGTAGGAAGGAAATACAAATTAGGCCTGCTATGCCAGGGTTTCTTGTTGTCCTAAGGCGGGTTCCTACCCAGTGCTATTAATCTTCCTCCTTTCATGTGCAGAGGGAATGACTGGGCCTTTGCACCTTAATTCTTACTATCTTCTGTATAAAATTCTTCATAAAGCAACCCTTGAATCCCTTTTTACAGGAAAATACTTCCCCCTCATCTTCCTCCTGTAGGTGGAACATCTCCCTTAGGAGAATTTATTGGTCAACTCTTGTACCTTAGTGGCTCAGCTGAACAGATGGTAAGAACCTAATGCACACACACTCTCTGGCTCACTCAGCATTGCCAGCATGTTGCTTTGGTAGAGGTAGCGAGGTTAGAATGAGGGTGACACGTTGGGTGAAAACCTCAGATTGTTGAGGCCTTTCTGAAGCCTTAGCACAATTAACAGACCAGGAGGAGGGGGGGGGAGTGAATGACCAAGAGGAGTAAACATGACCCTGTGCCCTTCTGATTGAGCTTTTTCCAAAGTATATTGTTTTGCAAGATGGAAATTCTGGCAATAGTTAACTATTGCTATGTGAAATACAGCTTGTTAACGAATGGAAAATTCCCTGCCTGACAGACTGGAAAACTCCACACTTAACATTTCTTCCTGCTCAGCAGGAAGAAATCTGGACACTTGAATGCTCAGACACCTCTCAAGTTCCCCTGCAGACGGAAAGCCAGCCACTGGACATTTGCATTTATCGAGACCTCCTCATGACCCTGGGTAAATATGAATCTAGGGGGTAATTTGTAAGACATATTTAAGTGCTGGAGACTAAATAAAGTAGAAGCTTTGCATGAAAGCACTTATGTTTGCCTGCTTGCATCAACTATCTATTGGTCGAACAGCCATGTTCCCATTGATTATTTCCTGCCTTTGCCTCGCAAAGAGTAAAGTTCCCAAGAACTTTGGGTTCAGCAAGACCCCAGGTAACAATAGAATTGGCTCTCAGTATTGTCTTTGGTGTGAGATCTAGAATGCAATTTGAGCTGGGTGAGGGCATGTCTGCACTACAAAAGTCAACCTAAGTTACATCGATGTACAGCCGCCACAATAATTGAATCGGTTTTACATGTCCACACTACGTTCCTGGTATCAGCAGCGTGCATCCTCACTAGGAGCGCTTGAACTGATTTAATTGCCAATGTGGGGCATCACAGGATAGTTTCTGAGAAGCATCAATGTAAGCAACGCAGTGTCGATACTGACACTACGTTGACCTAACTACATAGACTTAAGCACTACGCCTCTCATAGAGATGGAGTTAAGTAAGTGTAAGAAGGTGTAGTGGGTGAGTGAGTTACATTTTAGTGTAGAGGCTTACAGAGTTAGGTCGACATAAGCTGGCTTACATCAACCTAACTCTGTAGTGTAGACCAGTCCCAGGCTTGACTCTGAGTGACTGGTCTTTTATCTGAAAGATCATATTAACAAACATTTACAGAAAAGCAAAAGTTGGCTGTAAAAGGTTTGAACATTCAGAACAAGGTATTTGCCTGCTTTATAAACTTAAAACAAAACAAAACAAAACAAACCACTTTAATTCAGGCTAGCACTCAGCTTTGAACCTTACACTGCTACAAAACAAAATTGGTGTGAATATCTGATACAATTAAACCTATGAACCAATCCAAAAAAATGTAGTATAAAACCCAGTCAAGAAAGTGGAGTAAACCAGGGTTGTAACCATGGGTGGCGGGTGAACCCCAGGCCTTGCCCCTCTCCCTGGAATCCAGAGGCCCCCCCCATGCAGCTACTAGCCTGCTCCCCCTCCCCAGCTGCCCGAGCGCCCCCAGAAAGGAACAATCAATTGCACACATACAAAATGGGAAATGACTACCTAGGAAAAAGTACTGCAGAAAGGGATTTGGGGCTTAGAGTGGATCACAAGCTAAGTATGAGTCAACAGTATGACACTTGTGCAAAAAAAAAAAAAAAAAAAAAAAACCCCAATAATTTTGGGATGTTTTACCAGGAGTGTTGTCAGCAAGACACGAGAGGTAATTCTTCCATTCTACTTCGTGCTGATTAGGCCTCAACTGGAGAATTGTGTTCAGTTCTGGGCGCCACATTTCAGGAAAGATGTGGACAAATCAAAGAGAATCCAGAGAAGAGCAACACAAATGATTAAAGGTCTAGAAGACCTATGAGGGAAGAATGAAACTGGGTTTGTTTAGTCTGGAGAAGAGAAGATTGAGAGGAGACATGATAACAGTTTTCAAGTGTATAAAAGCTTGTTAAAGGAGGAGGGAGAAAAATTATTCTCCTTAACCTCTGAGGATAGAACAAGAAGCAAGGGGCTTAACTTGCAGCAAGGGTGATTTATGTTGGACATTAGGAAAAACTTCCTGTAAGGGTGGTTAAGCACTGGAATAAATTGCCCAGGGAGGTTGTGGAATCTCCATCATTGGAGATTTTTAAGAGCAGGTTAGATAAACACCTGTCAGGGATAGTCTAGATCAGTGGTTCTCAAATTGGGGGTCGTGAGGTCATTACCTGGGGTGGGGGGGGAGAGGAGGTCACAAGCTGTCAGCCTCCTCCCCAAACCCTGCTTTGCCTCCAGCATTTATAATAGCGTTAAACATTTTTAAAAGTGTTTTTAATTTATAAGGAGGGTCCCACTCAGAGGCTTGCAGTGTGAAAGGGGTCACGAATACAAAAGTTTGAGAAACACTGGTCTAGATAGTATCAGGAGGTAGCCATGTTAGTCTGTATCTACAAAAACAACAAGGAGTCTGGTGGCACCTTAAAGACTAACAGATTTATTTGGGCATAAGCTTTCGTGAGTAAAAACCTCACTTCGGATGCATCCGAAGAAGTGAGGTTTTTACTCACGAAAGCTTATGCCCAAATACATCTAACTAGAGTGGTTCTTTTATCACTTGTGAGGTTGTTGTAACATCTAAATGTTGTGTCCT